ATATACTTTTAAAATAATAATAAGGTACTTAAAGACAACCCTAATTACCAGTAAGGTAATAAAAATTCATGACAAAAAAGTCATTATCACGGGACAAGTTATTGTATTACTGCACTGTAACATTAGCAACATATAAGCATTTGACCCTAATATTGAACTGAAACTATAACAATCTTCTTCAATGAGATGATTTTTGGATTGCAGAAAGTTTAAACTGATCACACAAGCAGCTGTAGAGACTATTGGTCTCAAAAGTCTTCTTTTAAAGCACAGTGAAGAAAATCAAAGATGCATGGAAACATTGTCCAAAGGACTAAAGGACCATGGGAACCTCAGCCTCCTCAATCCTGAGATAACAAGAACTAGATGGTTCCTGACTACCACTACCAACCTTAACTTTGTTAAATTACATTATATTACTTGGAGTTTTCTGTCAGTTTAAGATTATTTGTCTATCAAAACAGGTGCCTGAAATCCTAGCAATCAAGTCACAATTACCAGGAGGAAAACAACAGCAGTCAGGTTACTCTAAAACTCCTAATCCATCCACTGTCATCAACTAGATTCTAACTCATAGTCACCCTAAAGAATAGGATAGAACTGTTCCATAGGGTTTCCAAGGCTGTAAAACTTTACGAAAGCACTCTGCCTCATCTTTCTCCTGCAGAAAGATGAATGCCTGAACCACTGCAACACCAGAGATCCTTAGATAAACTGCTAACAAGTACTAAATCATACTAAAAAGTCTAAAAGGCAGTAAGCCAGTAGCACGGAGAAATAGGGCTTACTGGATAAACCTCACTGGATAACCATTAACATCCAAGGGCTACACTGGTTACTAATCTTCCTGAGGAGCTAAACTAATTTCCTTAAAGATCCTTACTGTGCCAGTACTCACCGTGCCTGAACACCATCTCATTTAGATTTCACTCCTTCATCCTTAAACATGGCCTCTCCAGTGAAGACCTCCTTAGCTCTACTTCCTGTCTCCCTCTCAATAACTTACCCATAAAAGTCCTGATGGCATTTTTTGTATAAAGGACCTAGTTTTCTGTTTACTGGTTATGTGCAGTCTCTCACACTGTGGTAGAACTAGGACAAATATACAAAAAGGCGTAAGATAAGCACCATACTTACTCATTTTTGAATCCTCAATACCTAGCATAACAGTAAATATTTAATAGATTACTTTAAGGAAGGAATGGTTTGCTACTTAAATTGACAAGTGGGGAGGGGTGGTGAGGAAAAGGAGAATGAGGTATTTGATATTTGACATCAAAATGGGCTTCTAGGTCACTGCCTTAGACCCCATCACCATGCAACAGTACCAAATTAGTTCTCTGGTACAATTTTTGGTTCAATACGATTCTGTTTACTCTTAACAGTACAGTTAATTAATAATATGCTGCGAAAATAATCCCTACCGAAAGATGTGTTCCGATTTGCACGAACATCTTGACACTGTCAAAGGAGAATTTTAAAACTAAAAGGGGGAGACTCTTATTTCTATTTTGAGTAGAAAAGCCTAAGAACGAAGCTGTATCAGCCCTCAAATACGCAAATATCAGGGGCCCCTGACTAGGCTCTTTGACTTCTCCATCCTCTCAGGATTTCTTCAACCGCCCTTCCTACGCAGGTCTGACTCTTGGCGTGTAGACCTTTTCAAACCTTCGACCCTAATTAAAGAAGGGAGACATTTATCAGTCTTTCTTTTGGTTCATTCCTTAGATTTCCCCTTTTGGGCCACCTCAGGTGCTTCCTCCTTCATCCACCCTTCCCGGCCTACCCCAGCCTTTAGTAGGCCTCAACCCTCATCCACTCCACCATTGTTATTTACATCGTCGTCCGGGGAGGCTGAACGCTTCACCCCATGCGGATGAGACTCCCTAGCAGCACTCATCGTTGCGGAGATCCAGACGGGAATACCGAATCCACTCGCCCTTCTCCTCAGCCGTCTCGCCAGCAGCCTGCACTCTAACACGGGCCCAAGCAGCGCCTTTCCAGAACGCAGAGCTCTGGACCTTCTCAGCCACAAACGTCACTGCTGCGGCCGCTCACCACCCCCGGAGCACTCTGGGAGTTACAGTTTTCTGCTTACTCTACAGCCACCTGAACAGAGGAGATGGATGGGTAACTAAAACTACAACTCCCAGGAAGCCCAGCGGCTCAGGTCGCGCAGCGTGGCGGGAGTGCACCGTGAAGCTCCGCCTTCTTCGGCAAGCAGAGAGAGCTTTTCCGCGGATGATAATGGCGGTGAACGTTGGTGGGAAGTTTCGTTGCTGCAGAAAGAGATTTAGACTGAGTTTTCACGTTTCACCGTGAGACGCTATCCGGTTGGCAAATGCATCCTTTGTAGTAAAGCACCAAGGTTTAAATGTAATGTCTTTTGAATCCTCGAGTGCTCTTCCTGCAGGAGAAAAACCTTAAGAAAAGGGGGGAAAAATGGCTGCCACCGTTACCACCCTAATGCTAGCTTTCTGTACCTAACAAGTGATTTATAAGTGACCGACGGTGCCGTTTCCTAGAAGATTATGACAAATAGCATGCCACTTTCTCTTTTCCTAAGCCAGGGTCCCCCTGAGGGAATTCTGTAAACTTTCCACACAGCTTCCTGTGAGGTGGGAGTGAGCCTCTTAACACCTCACTGCTTGTCTGTAGGCGTAATATCTGGGCCTTCACCAAATGAATCACTTCATCTCTGCCAGAAAGCGCTGTATCGCTTTTTTTTTTTCTTCAAATGTTTATTGGAATGAAATTCATATAAGCCATTTTAAATTTTACAATTCAGAAGCATTTAGTACTCTCCCAGTGTTATGTAGCATTACCTCTATCTAGCTCCAAGATAATCTCATCATCCCAAAAGGAAACTATATTTAACCATTAAGCAGTACATTTCTATTACCCTCTTCCTCCAGCCTCTGGCAACTTCTAGTCTTCTCAGTCTTCTATCTTCTTGCAGTATCAAGGTGTCTGAGTTTTTAACCAGGCCTAAACGTGGCTGCCTTCCCAACTATGTAAAACTTTCTGGCAGGATCCTTGTCTTTACTTATTCTGAAGCTATCTGACCTTGATTAAAGAGTGGATTTTTTTTATTTTTAACTTAATTTTAAAGCAAAAATCAGTAAATGGTATGACAGCCACAGGCCTAGTGTGCATTTTGGTACTGCGAGCTGTCTGTAAAACAGTGCTTTACTACTAGCTTTTGAATTGACTTATTTCTCCAGTTTGTGTAGAAATAGCCCTTTACTAGATTTCAGATGATCCCTGAACATTTTTAGAACTGTGACCAGTGGAAGACCGTTCTTTAATTTTTAAAATCCAATTTGGGTATCATATATCCAAATTCTCCTTTCTTTTAGACGAAGATGAATAACATAATAGCATTGCAATCATATGAAGGAAAAAAACTTTTGGGTCATATTTTATAAGTATAACCAAGCAAAGACACCTTAATCTATTTAATTCTGTGGTGAATTGTAAATCAAGTCAGAGGAGTAAAAACATGTCGAGAGAAAGCACTTTGTGGAAGTAGTTGCTTGCTCTTTGCTGTGAATTAAAATATTTTGCATACTCCATGATTCTAAGATTTTGTAAATATAATCACATCTAAATTACAGAGTTTTCTAGGATGGACTACATTTCACCTCCAATGTATTTGTCAATATATACAATACAATTTAGAACTCTGAGCTATATAACCAATAAACAAATGGAATGGGATGGCTGAAAGTAATTTAGACTGCTAACAGAATTCTGAAATAAAAAGGACAATCAGTAGGATTGGGAAGTTAATAATTCTAACAGTATACTAACTGGAGAAGCTCTGGTGGTGCAGTGATTAAAGCAGTCAGCTGCTAACCAAAAAATTGGAGGTTTGAACCTACCATCCACTCCTCCAGAGAAAGATGCCAGGATGCTTATGTAAAAGCCTTAGAAACCCTATGGGTTTCTTAAAGGGTTGCTATGAGTCAGAATTGACTCAGTAGCAGTGGGTTGGGTTGGGTTTGGTATACTAACTGGTGAAAGTCCAGAGAATTTCAATGACCTAGCAATATGTCTTATTTCTTCACCAGAATTGTTGACACCTGGATGGCTAAATCATCAAGCTATCATAAAACAAGATCACAAGCCAAAAAGTAACATAGGAAATAATAAAGACTGGATCATTTTGTCAGATTTTATGCAGTTTCATATACAGAAGCCTATAGGTAAGGATGAAATTATACAATGTAATAGAATGGCAATGCATATGTGGAACAGAAACCCAGCAGTACTCTCCTTGTTGTGTTCAAAACTAAGCAGATACTCTGTTACAAGGGAAAATTTGAAACATTTCATTTCTATTTTTTGTTTCTGTAGCTTCTAGCAGAGTGCCTGACACAAAGTAGTCAGCAAGTGTTTTTGATTTAATTTAGGGAGGATGAAATGATACAGTATAATAGAGTAGCATCTCATGAGGCTCAGAAACTCAGTGATGTCCTTTTTTGAATACTAAAGGTAAGGAGTGGAGAGTCTGTCTCTAAAAGAGCTTTTAAATACTTTCCTGACCTTAGAGCTTATCCCTTCCTAAATTTTTATATACCCAATGCTTAGCACATAGAAAACAATCGTAAATGTTTGTTCAGTACATATATTAATATTTTATTCGACTCATAACTGAGCAGAATTAACAAACATAAAGAAGAAATAAAAAGTCCAAAGAATATACCCTTACAGAAAATCTGCTGTTTCACATGAGACTTAAAAAAAAAAAAAAAAAACTCTTACACCAATAGTCATAACTATTGCTTATTGAATATCCACTGTACACCATACACCATATACTTTGGTAGGTGCTTTTTATAATTGATCTCAAAGCCTCACAACAGTTTGCAAGAAGTGTTAGGTGAGTATGTAGATAAAAAGAGCTTAAGAAAAGTTAAAGAATTTGCCCAAAGTCATACAGCTAATAAGTGGCAAAGCTAGGATTCATTACTTAAATCTGTCTAACTCCAAAAGCCCATACACTTTCCACTGTGCCAATATAGCAACATTTATTTAGGGGGCCAAGTATGTATCAGGCAGTGTGCATGAGTAAATTACAAATTAAAAGTGGAGATGGAGAGGGAGGTATCTTCAGGAAATGGTCAATGTCCAAGGTGACTGAAATTTCATAAGCATAAAATATTGTAGTTTGAGACAAAACGATGGGTTGATCAAAGCCGGGCTGTAAAAACATTGAGTTTGAATCTCTTACTACACATATTCATGTTCAGATAATCTCAGTCCCGTGATATTTCCCCAGTTAAGTCCATTTTACACGTCATCTTCTAAAAATAGACTAGAAATTTTCCTGCTTAAAATCTCCCTGATCTTCCCATTTTATATAAATTAAGTCTATATTCTGACCTTAATCATCAATTCTAGTCTTATTTTCTATTATTACTCTTACTTATCTTGATTGCTATCAACCACTAACCAATAAATAAATAAATAAACCAAACTCACTGCTGTTGAGTCGATCCAACTCATAATGACCCTTCCTTGGGTTTCTGAGGCAGTATCACTATGGAAGTAGATAGCCCAGTCTTCCTTTTCAGGAGTGGCTGGTGGGTTTGAATGGCCAGCCTTCTGGTTAGCAGCCAGATGCCTTGGGCACTACACTACCAGAGCTCCCTATCAACCACTTGTTGTTGTTGTTGTTATGTGCTGTCGAGTTGGACCCGACTCATAGCGACCCCTCCTTGGGTTTCTGAGGCAGTATCACTACGGAAGTAGATTGCCCCACCTTCCTTCTGAAGAGTGGCTAGTGGGTTTGAACCTCCAGCCTTCTGGTTAGCAGTCAAGTGCCTTAGCCACTATGCTACCAGAGCTCCTTATCAACCACTAGTTACAACAAAAATAAGTTATGTGCTATAATAGAGATATGAAGAAAAATACAAGTTTTGCTGGCTATTTTAGACTGTGAGCTGCTTTTGGGTAGAATCTAAGCTTAGCACCATGGCTTGTATATGAACCATCTTTCAATATATTTTTGTTGTATTAATATATAAATGGATGAGATGAGAGAAGAGCAGGTTTATATGGTAAGATAATATATTTTATACATGTTGAATTTAAAGCATTAGTGGGATACCACGTGGAGTAGTATTGTAGGTAGTTAGATATATGGGCTTCAGAGTTGAAAGGGAGCCATAAATTTGGAAATCATCCATCTAAAGATGATTAGTCAATCTAAGACAGTAGCTGAGTTCACCTGTGGAGCATGTGCTCCATACTTGGGGGAAGAAAAGAACAGTTAAGGCTAGAGTGAAAAAGGAGAGCCTGAGATCAGAAAATAGATGTAGAAGTGGAGCAAGGAGTTTACTGTCACTGAAGCCATAGGAAAAGATTGTTCAACTGTGCCAAACCAAGAGATGAAGCCCATCTTGAAATTGATTTTGAAGGCATAATGTAATTGGAATTGTAGGACCTAATACAGCATCGTGCAGATAAATGTCTTAGATATCTCCCACTGCCATCGAGTCAATTTTGACTCATAGCAACCCTCATTACATTTCCAAGGCAATAAATCTTTATGGTAGTAGATTGCCCCATCTTCCTTCTACAGAGTGGCTGGTGGGTTTGAACTGCCAACCTTCTGGTTAACAATCAAATGCCTTAGGCACTGTGCCACCAGAGCTCCTAAGGTATGTAGTGCTGCTATAACAGAAGCAGCACAAGTGGGTGTCTTAAGTGAGCAGACTTTTATTTTCTCATAGTTTAGGAGGCTTGAGGTCTGAATTCAGGGTGCTGGCTCTGGAGCAAATCTTTCTTTCTCTGTCAGCTCTGGGGGAAGTTCCTTGTTTCTTGGTTCACTGGTGATCTTCATGTGACTTGGCATCTATTTTTCCACCATCCCTGGTTGCTTGCTTGTCCTTGTATTATCTTTATATTTTAAAGGTGCTTGGCTTAAAATACACCCTACACTGATATGCCCTCTTAACAAAGAAAACCCATTCCCAAATGGTATTATAACCACACGTATAGGAATTAGGATTTA